TTATTACAAGTAGTGCTGCTATTAATATTTTTAAACATACATGAAATTCTTTTTTTACTAGGTATTTTGACCAACGTGATTTAGCTGATGAACCATCTTGATGTAGCTGGCCTCTCAGGGATAGAAGATACCTGTGATGAAGGCAGTCTGAGGATGTACAGGGGCAACTTAAGTGAGAATTGAATTACATCTTCAACATTATTTGAAGGGTCTTCATCTTAACCTGTGCATCTGAAGTTGACATTTAGAAGATATATTGTATTGATTTGAATATCTTAAGTATTCTTTGGAAAATCCCAACCAGCCAGTTTTTGATGAACAGTTAAAACAGTTTTCTGTAATTACATGTTTTTAAAACAAATTGAGTGCCATTTATTGATGAAGCATTCTGTACAGAAACTGTATGATGAAATTTTACAGAGATCCTTGGTGCTTTTTCATTGTTTCTTTACATATACCCATAAACTTTTATTGAAAATGTGTTTTGGTTATTAAAATCTTGTTTGACTTTTTTTTTAAGATTTTATTTATTTATTAGAGAGCACAAGCAGCGGGAGCGGCAGAGGAGAGGGAGAATTGGACTCTCTCCACTGAGCAGGGAGCCGGATGCGGGGCTCGATCCCAGGACCCTGGGATCATGACCTGAGCCATACGCAGTCACTTAACTGACTGAGCCACCCAGGCACCCCTTAACTTTGATTCTTGAACAAAACAAAAGACAATGGATAAATGTCCTTAGTATTAGAATTAAGATAATTGGTTAAATGGCAAATATTTTCATAGTCAGCAACAAAACTAATCAAATGTTTTCCCTTTAAGCTCAATACTTTTCTTTTTAACTGCTTTATTACGTAAAACTTTCTTAAATCATTTTGTATAATACCCTAACAAGTCATCTGTTTTGTCTGTCAAATCTCTTGCTCATATCACTTAAAATTTACCTATTTCTTTATCAGGTAGGAATGTTTTCTACTTTAACAGAAGATCCAAGTAGCAGTGGTTTTTCAGTAGGGATTTATATTTCTCACACAACCAGAAGTCAAGAGGAGCTGGCTACTGGTATGGGTCGATGACTCCACAATACCAATGTATCTGAGAGTCATGGCCTTTCCCTTAAGGGTAACAAGATGGCCACTGCAGTTCAAGGCAATGTGTCTGTATTCAAGACCGAAAAAGGTGAAAGGACTCAGAGCCTTCCACATCTGATTCTTTTCTCATAAAAGGAAAACTCCCCAGAAATTTACAAAAGATATGTGTTCATTTGTTGGCCACAAGTATGACATGATCACCTCTAGCTCTGAGGAAGGTGGAGAAATGAAATTGTAAGCCTTTCCAGTCTTTCCAGTAGGAGGAAGAAAAAGAAAGGGGTGGGAGAGAAAAGGGGATTGGAAATACCTGCGGATCTGGGGCACCTGAGTGGTTCAGTCTGTTGGGCGTCTGCCTTTGGCTCAGGTCATGATCCTAGGGTCCTGGGACCAACAAGAAGTCTGCTGTTCCCTCTCCTACCCCCCCCACCCCGCCGTGCACATGCACGCTCTTTCTCACTCTCAAATCTTTTTTTTTTTAAAGATTTTATTTACTTAAAAAAAGATTTTATTTACTTATTTGACACGGGGTTGGGGGGACAGCAAGCATAAGCAGGGGGAGCAGCAGGCAGAGGGAGAAGTAGGTTCCCTGCTGAGCAAGGAGCTGGATTTGGGACTCCGGGATCATGACCTGAGCCAAAGGCAGATGCTTAACTAACTGAGCCACCCAGGTGCCCCCAAACAGACTGATTCTGATGACATCTCCAGTCCTAAGTCCTCTTACGAGGTTGTATTGCTAGACCTGAGAGATCAAGCTGTGTCTTTACGGTTAGTAGAAGCCACTGACTAAACAGTTTACGTAGGCAGTATACAGTATAGTTCATACAGTATAGTTTTGTTTTTTTAGAGGGAGGGGGTGGGGCAGAGGGAGAGAATCTTAAGCAGGTTCCATGCCCAGTGTGGAGCTTGACGCAGGGCTCGATCTCACAACCCTGAGCCAAAGTCAAGAGTTGGACATATAACCAACTGAGCCACCCCATCACCCCCATACAGTATAGTTTTCTACTTTTGAAAAATACATCTGCTCGGGGTGCCTGGGTGGCTCAGGTCGTGATCCCAGGGTCCTGGAATCGAGCCCTGCATCGGGCTCCCTGCTCGGTGGGAAGCCTGCTTCTCCCCTCTCCCACTCCGCCTGCTTGTGTTCCCTCTCTCGCTGTGTCTCTGTCAAATAAAATCTTAAAAAAAAGAAAAAGAAAAATGCATCTCTTTAAAACAGGTATGCTATTCATTAAGGGTCCTTGATGACTATAATTAAGATGAAATCATGCAAAAGGATACTGAAATCGAAGCTACTTTCTAATTGCAATAGGCTTATAAGCCAGAATATTCTGTGATGTTTTTACTCTTTATTTCCATATATACACACAACAGACACTTTAATCTATTTACATAGATTATCTCAATGTTTACACCAATCTTATGATTTTATCCCTCTTAACAGGTTTTTTTTTAAAGATCTTGTTTATTTGAGAGAGAGTGAGAGAGCATGAGAGCAGGGGGGAGGGGAAGAGGCAGAGGAAAAAAGCAGACTCCCCGCTGAGCAGGGAGCCGGACTCAGGGCTCCATCCCAGGACCCTGGGATCATGACCTGAGCCGAAGGCAGATGTTAACTGACTGAGTCACCAAGGTGCCCCTCATAACAGGTTTTTAACCTGGAGTCCATGAACTTGAATGGGAAAAAAATTACATCTTTACTTTTACTATCCTCCCGTTACTTAGCATTTCCTTCATTTACAAATACAGGCAACAAACCATAGCAGCATTCATTGATAACTGTGACTTTGTTAGCTATTCATTAAGGGTCCTTGATGTTTTCAAGAACCTAATGTTTAGAAGTCCTAATGTTTTCATATCAAATTGTAGTTGCAGATGTTTTAGAATATTCACACAGGGGCGCCTGGGTGGTTCAGTTGGTTAAGCGACTGCCTTCAGCTCAGGTCATGATCCTGGAGTCCCTGGATCGAGTCCCGCATCAGGCTCCCTGCTCAGCAGGGAGTCTGCTTCTCCCTCTGACCCTCCCCCCTCTCATGTGCTCTCTCTCTCTCACTTTCTAATAAATAAAATCTTTAAAAAAAAAAAAGAATATTCACACAGTAGTTCAAAATATGGTAGCTATTAAACCTACCTCTAGATCATGTGTGATTGCAGACTTCCTGTCTATAGTTTCTGGTACCAAATAACCATAGGCCTGGAAGCCGACACCCAACATTGTAGGTGTACTCACATTGGTGACATCGGTATTTGCATTACTTTACACCATTCCCTATGTATGATTGATCTATAAATGGAAGGAACTGAGCCACAAGACCACCCCACAGGTTCTTAGGCAAGCTAAACAACAGCTGTCATATTCATCTTTATTAAAAAATTAACTTGCCTATATATATATATACATATATATACATTTTTTTAAGTTTAAATATTCTCTACACCAAATGTGGGGTTCAAACTCACCACCCATGGGTGCAGTGGCGCGCGCCTGGAGTCCCAGCTACTCGGGAGGCAGGAGGACTGCTTGAGCCCAGGAGTTCTGGGCTGTAGTGCACTATGCCGATCAGATGTCCGCACTAAGTTTGGAATCAATATGGTGACCTCCCAGGAGCAGGGGTCCACCAGGTTGCCTATGGAGGGGTGAACCGGCCCAGGCTGGAAACGGAGCAGATCAAACTCATGACCCAGAGATCAAGAGTCATAAGCTCTTCCACCTGAGCCAGCCAGGTACCCCTTCCCTGTATTTTTTTTTATTGATTGATTTTTTTGGCCCTTTGCCTGTATTTTAAATATATTGCCTTAATATAAAGTATATATCATATTTTAAAAATATTTTGATAACATATCAGTGTAATTGTTTCCTTTGTAGTCTTATGTATTTTATCTGTGCATTAAAAACATTGTGAGGAGTTCATTAACATCAACACACTACCAAATAGGAGTCCATGGCCCCCAAAAGGTTAAAAAAAAGAAACAGAACCCTATACCATGAGAAATGAGTTTTCACCACTGTCCTATCCCATCCCAGGTATGAGTCCTGAGAGTTTTCTCCAACATTCCTCCCAAGAACTCCTGCTGCAAAGAAGGGGTTATTATCCAAAAAGGGCAGTTTGGATGAGGCTCGATACAACTTTGTGCGAGAGTGGAGAAGTATTACTTCTGCTAGGTGGTCTATAGCTGATGACCCACAGAGTCCCCCTTTTCAAAGAGAAAACAATGGCTTACCTGGTTCCTTGGGCACAAGTGGCTTAAATGTAGTAAACAATCTCTTCTCTGTGGCACTGGGCAACCTGATGTACAATAAATCCTCTCTGCAGATGACACTATAATGCCTTTCTCCCAAACCCAAGGCCTCTACTAGGTAGCCTCCCTGACTTCCACTAGCTTTAGGCCTGTACCCTGCCCCCCATTAAACTCTCAGCCGAGGTCACCCTGTGAAACCTAGGACTCAGAAAAACATAGCTTAAAAATCACTGATTTATCATGATTTCTCACCTCAAATAGAAATATCCTTATTGTGGCAAATGATTATTTTAAAACCCAAATAATAAAAAGCTGAAAGTCAAAAATCTCCATCCACTGTACAATTTACTTGTAACTTTCCGGTCTGATACTCAGAATCATGTATATTTATACATTGTATGTGCTGTATCCTATAACAAAGTTTTTTCTCTTAACATCAATTAATAGCATTCCATGTGCATAAATACATGATTTCATCCTTTTCACCAGCTGCACATTTTCTTATATGTCAGTACCATAATTTAATCAAGTGCCATCAGTGAACACTTAAATAGTGAAAATCCTTATACATACAAATTTGTGTACTCATTCTTCCCAGCTTGAGATATACTTGACATATAACATTGTTTTTTAAGTTTAAGGTGTACAGCAAGTAACAAAATACAGAACCAAAAGTAGACTGAACAAGTTAAGGAATTTATTATCTCATGTAACAAAAAGTCCAAAGAAAAAGCAGTTCCAGGATTGGTTAATTCAGAAGTACAAATAAGGTGCTTTCTATCTGTGCATCCTGCTATCCTCAATATGATGGCTTTCATCTTTATGCTTATCCTCCCGGTTATCAGATGGAAGAGGAAATGACAGATGTACGAGATGAGCACTGACCCCAACCCACTGAGAAGACAGGGTCCAATGAAAGTTGGTGTGCCTAATCCAATTATCCACCCCTCTGCTCTTGGGAAATAGTAATTAGAGAATTAGAACCTTCACCAGCCCTTCCACACATGGGGAGAGAAGCTGAAGTCAAGACTGTAACAGGAGTAAGTATAAAATTCCTTCCTCAAATACCTAATATTCTTTGGCCCTGGAGTCACTGAATTCACATTTAAACTAATCTATATTTCACCTTATTACATTAATGGAGCTCTCAAGAACTGAATTCTATTAAAGTAAAATTAAGGACTAAATTCTGTTAAAGTAAAATGAACTTTTTAAGCCATTTAGGCGGTTAGATAGGATGTATGTATCACACACACATACACACACACACACAATACATAATGTATATAATAAAATCCTTATAGGCATAAAAATTCTTAATAGAAATAAATTATAATAAAATAATTGTTTAGTGTACTGTTTGCTTTTCTTAATAACTAAAACAAATTCATAAAGCAAAACCAAAATTTGTTCATTCTTACAGAAATGATTCTGATTGATACATACTTTTCTTAATGCTAATTCATCAAACCCTGAATTCTGCTTCTCTATCTGTGGTTAAATACACACCACTATAAGCAAGTAAGAATGTTTAAAATAAGGGTCCTACATCTTGGAGTTTAGTTACTTGAAATCAGGTTTTTCATTCTGAATAGTTATAGTAAAATCTATGTTATGATAGAATGTCTCTTTATCTGCTTTAAAAAGGTCTGTGTTAAATTAATAAACTACAACCTTACTCCCGCTTAAGAGTGCATCTTTCATTACATAATTTAGCAAATAGCTTATATCAATACAAATGTCCAATAATGTAATTAAATCATTGCTACTTGAAATACTTTATACATGAATAATTTATCTCTTTACACTGTTGAAGCCTTGCCTTGCATTTCAGTGTTTTATAGCTTCTGTATCATCACCTGAAATTTACCTAAAAAAGGAAAAATGAAAAATCATTCCTTGATTTTTAGGTACAAGGAAAAAAAAGCCTAAACATCAATTTTCTGTTCTATTAGAGAGTAGCTTCAATGAAGAAACTTGCTATGTCAAACAACTTTTCACACTTTTCATTCATAATACTCAATAAAGTCAATTTCATTTTTATGAGATGATTATTTGTTTTGTGAATAGGTGTCTTTGCTTCTCTTTGTGATTCCTACCTTTTGGGTATTTCACTACCTATTATCATTGTGAATAGAAAGGAAATATAGTGAAGCTCAAGTCAATTTTACTCTTGTTTGGTAGCTTTGGTAAAAAGACCTTTGGAAAGGAGTTTAGCGATAAAAGACTAGTTGGCTTTATCTAGCTTTATTCTAGAAAATTGTTTTTAAAAAAGACATTTTCAATGCTATAGGGAAATTTGTTATCTTAAAAGAATAATGCAGAAATTTTTCCTTTAAAAGTTAAGAATCACTGGAGCACCTGGGTGGCGCCTTTGGTTGAGCATCTGACTCTTGGTTTCAGTTCAGGTCGTGATCTTGGGGTCTTGGGATGGAGCCGTGTGTCAGGATCCGCACTGACCACAGAGTCCACTTGGGACTCCCTCCCTCTCCCTTTGCCCTCCCCCGCCCCTAGATTAAATAAATCTTAAAAATAAATACATAGGGATACCTGGGTGGCTCAGCCAGTTAAGCATCTGCCTTTGGCTCAGGTCATGATCCCAGGGTCCTGAGATCGAGCCCCGTATCAGGCTCCCTGCTCAGCAGGGAGTCTGCCTCTCCCCCTGGCTTGTGCTCTGTCACTCACTCTCTCTTGCTCTCTCTCAAATAAATAAAAATAAATATATAAAAGAATCACCACTTAAACTGTCTTATACATTTGGATTACTTTAGCACACTTTCTTAAATCACTGTCCATTATGAATTTAAAAATCTTTGAATATGAATAAAGTATGCTACATATTACATTAAATGTTAAAATTGATAAAAGTAAAACAAAATGGCTTTAGCATTTTAAATTTTCTCTAAATTAACAAAAACAAACAAAAAAACACCAGATTTGAAAAATAATCACTGAAAACATTTTTAAGAAATGTGAATTCAACTTACAGGCTGGCATTGAAGACACTTCAGCTGTGACAATACTTTTTATCCCCAAGTTTGATAAGCCACCTCTGATTAAGCCACACGTAAATGCTAAATACTGGAAGGAGCAAAAATGTAAAGAATATTAAGGATTTGCTAAGATCGCAATACTATTGATAAATATGACATTTAGTTAAGCCTTGCTATTAATAAGTCACTGCTGGGGTGCCTGGATGGCTCAGTTGGTTAAGCATCTGTCTTTGGCTCAGGTCATGATCTCAGGGTCCTGGGACTGAGCCCTGCATCAGGCTCCCTGCTCAGCAGGGAGTCTGCTTCTCCCTCTGCCCTTCACCCTGCTTGTGCTCTCTCTCTTACTCTCTCTCAAATAAATAAAATAAAATACATAAATAAATAAAAGTTAAGAATCACGACCTAAGTTGTCTTATACACAAAACCCAGAAACACAGATATACTTAACACAAAACATGTATTCTTAGAAACAAATGCTAACAATATTAAAAAATTGTTTTCTTAATTAACCAAAGGAGATTGTAAATATAAACTCTGAGGTGAGTAATTTCGTACAACTAACGCGAGTTTTATAAGCTTGAATATCTTTTCTGATATATCTTTGCTATATTCAAGAATCTAACATTAATTTACATTTCAATGGCATTTACTTAATAGTGTGTCATTAGATATCATAAGCCTATTCAGCTAGAGGTTAATATAGGTTATTTTAATATGATGAACACCTGTCTCCTATTTCACTGAAAAGAGGTTAAATAAAGGGGTGCCTGGGTGGCTTAGTCGGTTAAACATCTGCCTTCCACTCAGGTCATGATCCGCATCAGGCTCTGTGCTCAGCAGGGAGTGTGCTCCTCCCCTGCTCATTCTCTCTCTCTCTCAAATAAATAAAATATTTATTTATTTAGATTTTATTTATTTGTCAGAGAGAGTGAGCACAAGCAGGGGGAATGGCAGGCAGAGGGAGAAGCAGGCTCCCCGCTGAGCAAGGAGCCAGTTTTGGTACTTGATGCCAGGACCCTGGGATCATGACCTGAGCCAAAGGCAGACGCTTAACCAACTGAGCCACTCAGGCATCCCAATACATAAAATCTTTAAAAAAAAAAAAGAGGGGCGCCTGGGTGGCTCAGTTGTTAAGCGTCTGCCTTCGGCTCAGGTCGTGATCCTGGGATGGAGCCCTGCATCGGGCTCTCTGCTCTGCAGGAAGCCTGCTTCTCCCTCTCCCACTCCCCCTGCTTGTGTTCCCTCTCTTGCTATCTCTCTCTAATAAAAAAAAAAGAGAGAGAAGTGCTTAAACAAAAAAGAACAAGTTTAAAACCTATTCTAAATTCAAAAGTCTGTTGTGGTTGGCATTGTACTTTCCCTATGAAAATCCCCATCTTCTACTCCATTAAATACCTTAGATGCATGTTCTAAATACTGCTTTCCTGCAGACATCTGAGTAAGCAGACGAAATTTGTTGTCCTGAAGTACATAGATACCCTGTTTCAAAAATAGAAAAAACATCCAAAGTTAGTGTAGTCTGTAGTTCTTAAAAATGATCTCTACCCGGGACGCCTGGGTGGCTCAGTTGTTAAGCGTCTGTCTTCGGCTCAGGTCATGATCCCAGGGTCCTGGGATCGAGTCCCGCATCGGGCTCCCTGCTCGGCAGGGAGTCTGTTTCTCCCTCTCCCACTCCCCCTGCTTGTGTTCCCTCTCTCACTATGTCTCTATCTGTCAAATAAATAAAATCTTTAAAAAAAAAAAAAAAATGATCTCTTCCCTTCAAAACAATTCAAGAGTTTTTTTAAGTTATTAAAACTCTCCTTTCCACTGGTCAAATTTCTTTAAATGAAGGAATTTTGCAGTGTTCAAGCTGAAGAGTTGTTCAGAACTTTATAACACTAATATTTATTGAAAGCTTTAAGATACTAAAGATACAAAGATGCATAAGATAGTTCCTACCCTTGGGGGCGCCTGGGTGGCCCAGTCTTAAGATAGTTCCTACCCTTAAAGAGCCCACAGTCTAGTGCAAAGGAATCAGAAATACATGTCCAGGTGGAATTAGCAGTTATATATTATTAGCTCATATCTAGAAAGCCAATAATCAGTCACTTCTTCCCATTAGCATTTCAGTATTTACAAAGTAAAATATTGTTATATGAAAAAATGAAAGCTACTGATAGCTACTAAATTATTTTCACTTTCTAATCAATCAAAATGCCAAATCCACTCTAAATATTTCCTTGAGTTTTATAAAACAAAATAAATCTATTTAAATGCATAATTTTCCATGTAATCTATTAAATCTTATATTAACAAATTATTTTAAGAAGAATGACATCAACTAAATATTGCAAGAGTTACTTAAGAGTTAAATACGCTCTATAAATTAAACTTTAGAAATTACTCTAAAGACAAATTTTTTTTTTAAAGATTTTATTTATTTGACAGAGACACAGCGAGAGAGGGAACACAAGCAGGGGGAGTGGGAGAGGGAGAAGCAGGCTTCCCACTGAGCAGAGAGCCCGATGTGGGGCTCAATCCCAGGACCCCGGTACCATGACCTGAGCCGAAGGCAGACGCTTAACAACTGAGCCACCCAGGCAGCCCTCTAAAGACAAATGTGACATATTTGTGGTTCTGCAGAAAACCACCACCAAGTAATAATAACTAAGGAACCAAATCCTAAAACCTTTATCATTCTGACATTTGCTACTTTTTAAAACCTAAGATAAGTTATTTAATTGGGGGAAAGAAACAGCTATCATTACCGATAATTGTCTTTTTTTTATTCACTATATCCTATTATAAAGAAAAGTAATGATGTATTAATAACATATAAAAGAAACATTTCAAAGTTGACTAGAAATTATTTTAAGTTTTATATAATAAATAGATGACTAAAATAGAACATTTATGTGAAGTTAAAGGACTTAAAAAATAGGCATTAATTTGTCTAAATACCTGATGATTTGTCCTTAGATTGTCGATTTGTTTCTTGAATACTGTAGTCCAAAAATCTTTACAAATGAACTTCATGATATCTAACTCATCCTTGAACCTTGCAGTATCTTTTGTAAACCTAAAAAAAACAACTTAAAGTAATTAGTATTCTTCCTCCAAAGAAAGCAGGAGGGTCATATTATTCACTAATTTTGAAATTACGGAATAGCACTGAACATTTATTGACAGTCATAAAGTGATAAGCACCAAGCAAAGAAGATCACATCTCAATTCACATTGTTATGTAATTATGGTGCTAAAATTAGTCTAACAGTAAGCTGCAATTTTAGGTATGATTCATTCTAGCACATTAAAAAAAAAATGCTGAGCATAATTGTGGTATTGTTATATAAAATATAACCAGATTCAGTTATTCAGGTAATGAGAAAGGAATACATTATGAATTGATCTATAAATTAGAAGATTACTAAATGCATAAACACAGACTCTAAAGCATTTCCATCCCTTGCATCTAAACAAATCCATTTACTGTTAAAGAACCTACTAGACCTTAAGTAGAAAATGCAACAAGATTTTATTTTTTTTATTTTTTATTCTTTTTAAAGATTTATTTATTTGAGAGAGTGAGAATAAGAGAGAGAGAGAGAGTACATGAGAGGGGGGAGGGTTAGAGAGAGAAGCAGGCTCCCTGGGAGCCCAATGCAGGACGTGATCCAGGGACTCCAGCATCATGACCCTAGCCGAAGGCAGTCGCTCAACCGAGCCACCCAGGCACCCCATAAATGCAACAAGATTTTAGACAGTTGTTTCAGTACGCCAAATTTTTTAAGAAAGAAGTCTAAAATACAAAATATACATATACATTTTCTTCAAATATTAAAACATGAAAGTTGGATAATGGAGTTAAAATAACATCAGACCTAAAAAGAAATTGTAATCTGTGAATTAAAGAACAGAGAATAAATAAAATTTAGGAATTTAAAGTATTTCAAATTTTATACAATCTTTTGAAATGGATCACCTTTGTTTATAACCTACCTGGAAGAAAATTTTCAAATCCATACTGCTCACCTTTCTATCAATCCTTGTCCCACTCGAAACCCCATGTTTTCCAGCTTAGTAATACAGCGTCCATTTTCCTATTTTAAAAAATAATAGTTTGGAATATTTTTAGAATGCGAGAATATTATCATTTAAAAAATTGTTGGGTGCCTGGGTGGCTCAGTCTGTTAAGCGACTGCCTTCGGCGCAGGTCATGATCCTGGAGTCCCGGGATCGAGTCCCACATCGGGCTCCCTGCTCAGCAGGGAGTCTGCTTCTCCCTCTGACCCTCTTCCCTCTCGTGCTCTCTGTCTCTCATTCTCACTCTCTCAAATAAATAAATAAAATCTTAAAAAAAATAAAAAAATTTAAAAAAAAATTGTTTTAAGATGTTGACTAAAAACATTAATGTAAGTGGTTACACTTTTTTCACTAAAACATTCTTTTTTTTTTTAAAGATTTTATTTATTTATTTGAGAGTGAGCGAGAGACAGCATAAGTAGGGGGAGGGGCAGAGGGACACCAAGAAGCAGACTCCCCTGCTGAGCAGGAAGCCTGCCACAGGGCTAGATCCCAGGACCCTGAGGATCAAGACCTGAGCTAACGGCAGACACTTAACCGACTGAGGTACCTAGGCACCTTCACTAAAGTAGTCTAAGAACAAGTGAATTACAAGTTATATTTGAGTTTTCTTAGTACTAATCATTTCATAAGGCAGTAAGGTAAACAGGGAACTGTCACTACTTTTCAGAAATGCCAACCCCTCTTCCTAATTACTCCCTCTAACCTTTTTTTTTTTCCCCATTTTCAAGTATTCTTCTCTCCTCAGTTATAAAAATGAAGTCAAAGTATCACCTTTCCATCAGTCATTCCCTTTGGGAGGTCATTAAATTCTATTGTTCCTTGCTTCAAAATGTCTCTTAGAGTCATCCAAGCTTTCCAGTTCTCAGTGTCTTAGCTGATGACCCCACCATCCTATGCCAGGAATCATGCAGTTGAGTTGGTTTGCTCTCTGACAATCTCATTCAGTCTTCAGACTTTAAATACTACCCATATGCTGAATCTACACAGTTGTATATAATCCAGATTTCTCTATCTCGCAGGCCTCAACCTTCTACTCTTCTTCACTCGCATGGGCTCTAGCTATACTAGTCTTGCTCTTCTTAAACATGCCAGGCATGCTCCAATCTTGGGTCTCCTGCACAGGCAGCTCTTCCTCCAGATATCCACATGACCAACTCCCTTGCTTCAAGTCTTTACTCACGTCACCATCTCAATGAGGCCCCCTTTTTTTTTTTTAGATATACAATATAATCATTCAACAATTCTATAGATTATTCAGTGCTCATCACAGTTTAAGTATATTCTTAATCACCTTTATCTATTTCACGCATCACCCTACCCACCCACATCAGTGAGGCTCACTTTAACTATCTTCTTTAAAACTGCAACATTATTCCCCTTCAGAATTTCTCTATTCTGGTGATTTTCAAAGTGTGCCCCAAGACCAGTAACATTAGCATCATGTATGAACTTGTAAAAACTGCAAATTCTGAAACCCAATTTACTGAATCAGAAACTGTAGGTGTGGGGTTAGTAATCTGTGTTTTAAGAAACCCTCTAAAAGTAGGGTGCCTGGCTGGCTCAGTGGGTAGAGCATGTAACTCTTGATCTCTGGGTTGTAAATTCAAGTTCCACGTTGGGTGTAGAGATTACTTATAAATAAAGTAAAAAAAAAATAAAGCACTCTAAAATGATTCTGATGCCCTATCCCATTTCCCTGCTTAATTAGTCTCCAAAGAACTTCTTTCACCATTTAACATACAATATACATTTTACTAATTTCACATCCTCACCCTCTGTTAGAATACAGCTCCAAAATGGCAGGGATATTTATATATTCTGAAGCTTGGTAGTCTCCACTAAGTATATCATAGACCTCATTATTTGCTGAACTTTCTTCTAAGGAACCATGTATTCTACTAATGAGATTGTGACTACTAAATCTGTACTTTTATACTACAGAGTTTATTGGACATAGCTATAGAGAGGTCCCACAGCCCCCTCAAATAAGGCATATTCAAAATGATATTCGGGGCACCAGGCTGGCTCAGTCAGTAGAGCATGCAACTCGATCCCAGGGTTGTAAGTCTGAGCCCCACATTGGGTATAGAGATTACTTAAAAATAAAATCTTTAAAAAAATTAAATGAGGGGCACCTGGGTGGCTCAGTCAATTAAGCAACCAACTCTTGGTTTCGGCTCAGGTTGTGGTCTCAGGGTTGTGGGATCGATCCCTGCAACTGGCTGGATGCTCAGCACAAAGTCTGCTTGAGATTTTCTCCCTCTACCTGCCCCCACCCCGCTCCCACAGGGGCGTGTGTGGCACTCTCTCTCTCAAAAATAAATAAATAAAATCTTTTTAAAAAAAGATATTATCTTAATTTCCTCAGCCTGTGCTGCCTCTAAATTCCCTAAATTTATTAATGGCACCACCATCCACCTAGTAACCCCAACCAGAAAACTTCCAGTTTCTTCACCTCTTTACTCCCAACCCTCCACACGCATTGCAGTCCTATGGAGCCTATCGTCTATATGTTTTCAAAATTTATCTTCTCTCTCCATCCTTACTACTTAAGTTAGCCCTTCTCATTTCTCTCCTGGTTTTCAGTTAGAGCTTTCCAAATGATCTCCTTTTCTCTAGTTTTTTCCTCCTTTGATTTCTGTCTTCTGTATTTCTGGTACAGATTTTCTAAAAACCAAATCATGTTATTTCTCTACTGAACCTTTCAGCACCCTCTCCCCTTTCTTCAAAATAAAGATCAAACTCCTTAGCATGGCATTATGTGCCTTTCCTTAAATGATCCTGGCTAGTTAACCAGATTCACTAACAGCCACATATCCACAAACATCTCTCCTTCTACCACTCTGAAATTTCTGCAACAACTCCAGAGTTCCATGCTTTCTTCAGCCACCCCACATATGGTATATGGAATACCACATGCTGTTCCATACATCGTATAGCTTTTTTTTTTTTTTTAACATTTTATTTATTTGAGAGAGAGCATGAGCAAGGGGAGAGGAAGAGGGAGAAGCAGACTTACCACCGAGCTGGATGCAGGACCCGATCCCAGGACCCTGAGATCATGACCTGAGCCAAAGGCAGACACATAACCAACTGAGCCACCCCGCTGCACCTTTATTTTTAAAGATTTATTTATTTGAGAGAGCGTGTGTGTGCAGTGGGGAGAGGGAAAGGAAGAGAGAGAATCTCAAGCAGACTCCCCACTGAGCATGGAGCCTGAGATGGGGCTCGATCTCAGAACCCTGAGATCATGACCTGAGCCAAAACCAAGAGTAGGAAACCCAACAAACTGAGCCACCCAATAGACTGTATATCCTTTAAATTCAGCTCAAGCCTCATATCCTCCCAAAAGCCCTCCTTCACACTACTTTGGGCCCTATGCTGTCATAACGCTCTGCACATAAATCTATTATTGTACTTACCACAATCATTCATTTTTCTGTTATTTTCCAGCTCACTTCAAAACATGCTCAGGTGGAAAAAAAAAAATGCTCAGGTGGAATAAGTAACCTGTCAGCCTTTGTGGAACAATCTGGTCTTTATAGAATCAGCCAGGAGTATGTTGATTAGCAGGAAATATGATTATATGTAGACATTCTCAAATCCTAACTATTGATCACATGAGCTTTTGAATTATGCCCTAGTAAATACCTTCCGATGTTGCTACTTGTTCATTCACTTTGGTATCTGTGAATATTAACGAGTGGGTACCAAGTTTTTAAGAAAAATTAAACTAGAGGTATGTTATCTATTAACCTTTTTAAAAAATCTATTCTCCATAAATTGGTAAATACCCAATTATTCAGTTTTTAAAGATTTAATTCCTCCTTAAGCATAGTTTGAAAATTATTGATTTGGAGGGTGAGAACAATGGTTCTTTCCTTTATTTCACTTCAAAACTTATGACCATTTCTTAAAAGATATATAAAAACGATTGCTTGATGTCAGGATTATGTGTCTTTCTTTTACATTTTTTTATTACGACAAATCTGAAGTACACTTAAAGTAGAGACACTAATACAATGAACCCTCGTATAGATTCCGAAATGAGAGCATGAGCAAGGGGACGACTTGCTAATCAACACTGCCACATTAACTTTTTAAAATCCTTTTTGCTTATATGCACTTTCAATTCCCCACTGTAAACAAAGTGCAGTAAGAAAAAAATGTATTTTTATTTATGTAGTTTTAAATATTTATTTTTAAGTAATCTCTACACCCAGGGTGGAGCTCAAACTTACAACCCAAAGATCAAGAGTCGCATGCTCAGTTGGGGCACCTGGGCGGCGCAGTCGGTTAAGCGTCCAACTCTTGGTTTCAGTCCAGGTTGTGATCCCAGGGTTGTGGGATCACACTCAGCATGGAATCTGCTTGAGTTTCCCTCTCCCTCTCCCTCTGCAACCCCTCTCCCCCACTCTTGTGCTCTCTCTCTCAAAGAAATAAACAAATCTTTAAAAAAGAGTCGCATACTCCACCCACTGAGCCAGTCAGGCACCCCAAAATTATTTTCATTTTTGAAAGATTTTATTTATTTATTTGACAGCAGGAGAGAGAGCAAGAGAGAACAGATGCAGGGGGAGCAGCAGAGGGAGGAGAAGCAGGCTCCCCACCGACTGAGCCACCCAGGTGCCCCCCAAAAGTTATTTTTAGATTAAATGATTCAAAACTTAAGCTTTCCTTTCCCTTATATGACGAGCACATCTCTTAATATAATCAGTCATGATTACAATAGCTCTGTTTTATTTTGGTTAATCCACTGGAAAAAAGAGGGATTAAAAAAAAGATTTTCCAGGCTAAAAGTTGAAAGAGGGAAAGTAGAGAGAGAGGAATAAAAAGAAGTGATTGCAGACATTGAGGGAGCAGGGGTTTAATGATAAAAGAGTAAAAGAGGTGTGTTGCTCATTATTCTTTGGGAAAAGGGTAAAAGGAAGGCTAACTTTGCTTAAACAGTAAACGTCTGCTACTCATCACTTAGCATAGATGCTAAACATTAATAACTATTGGTTGCTGATGATAATGAAGTCAAAAGTGTGTAACTTGGAAAAAATATCTATTACAGATGGCTCTGAAAAGAACAGATCTGCTTCATTTCCAATACTCTTCCCAGTATCTTTCTAATATCTCCAAATGCATCATGCTTTTCTGCCATAGAGTGAATGTGTCCCCCCCCCCAAAAAATTCTTATTTTGGGCGCCTGGGTGGCTCAGTTGGTTAAGCGACTGCCTTCGGCTCAGGTCATGATCCTGGAGTCCCGGGATCGAGTCCC